AGATGAGGAAATAGAACATGTTTTAATACATTGCAAAAAAATACCAAAATGAAAGAAATCAATTTATTAAAAGGCTCAATGAAATTAAAACAAGATTTGATATTATAGAAATATTACGAAGCAATTCAAATTCTGAAACCTTTCAATTATTAATGAAGTATTTAAGACAGACTCGATTGTATGAAAGAATATAGTTTTTTTAGAGCTGTTCCAGTCCACACTCCACATCAGTAGATGACCGTAATGCACCTTAACGTTGTTTGCCAACCGCCACAAAATAACTAAGAAGAAGAAGAGTGAACAAGCAAACAAAAACTTATTTTCACACAGAATGGGAGGAGTTTTTTTGTTTGTTTGTTTATTCTCATTTGAAGCCTATTTGCCTCTTCTGTAATTCGAGCATTGCCTTACCCAAAAAGTGTAACTTGGAGCAACATTTCAAAATGATGCACAAATGGTAAGAGGCAGATTTCCCTCCTAAAAATTCTTTCCACTCAGAAAGTGCGGGAGCTAAAAATCAAGCTAGCAGCCCAGCAATAGATTTCACTCAGCCCAACACAGAAGGTAAGGCTGCTACAATAGCCTCATACCGTGTTAGCCGCATTCTGGCTCAACATAAGAAGTCTTTCAGCGATGGAGAAGTCATGAAAGAAGTGTTTCTTGAGGCTGCAGATGTGCTTTTTCATGATTTTAAAAATAAAAGTGAGATCGTATTAAAGACGTGCAGTTGTCCACCAGGATGGATGATTGTGTCCAAATTCATGTCCATGTTTCTGCTGGACTGCTCTGGGTTGAAAATTAGGTTTTGACTCTTAAAATGACAGTGGGATCAAATCCAGAGCAACGAGTCACATGGATGGAGAGTTCTGGAGTCTGCTTTCTCTCGCATGAAAATAATCAAGTCCAAGAACAAATCCACAATGACAGATGATCATCTAGAGACCTGCTTACACCTCCAAATCCTACAAGTCCCACTAAGGTAGACATACATTTATTTTTATACAGCTTGCAAAAAAAGTTGTCTTCTCTAGACTTGCCACATGACTTGTCTGTATGTTGTTGTTTTTTTATTACATTTTAGACCAGACTAGTGTGTTATACACTGACTGGCACCTTTGTGTTATTTATTTATTTATTTTGCAGTTTGGGTGTGTCCTAGTTTTCTATACCTAACGTGGCTGTGTGTGTGTGTGTGTG